AACTGATCGGAACAGATATTACACTTGCTCGTCGTCATCGTCGTCGTTTTGGGGGGTGGGGTAGTTAGTTAGGGGTCTCTCTCTCTCTCTCTCTCTCTCTCTCTCTCTCTCTCTCTCTCTCTCTCTCTCTCTCTCTCTCTCTTGTGTGCGTGGGTCAAAGGATGGTCCTCACTCCTACGTCCCTCCTCCCTCCTACGTCCCTCTTCCCTCCTACGTCCCCCTTCCCTCCTCCGTGCCACCTCCCTCCTTCGCCCCTCCTCACTCCTTCGTCCCCCCTCTGCACGAAACACAGTTCATTCCCCCCCCCCTCCTACCGTCCCTCCACCCTCCTTCGGCCCTCCTCCCTCCTTCGCCCCTCTTCCGCACAAATTAAGTTTCGTTTTTGTTTTTCCCTCCTTGGTCTCTCCTCCCTCCTTCGACCCTCCGTGCGCGCACACACTCGTGCGCTCATTTCACAGGCCGGGTGCGCATTTCATGCACGCATTTCGTAGGTCGCGCGTTCAAGAACGGAGGAGGAGGGAGGAGCGAGAAGAAGTTTGGAGGACCGAAGTCTGCGGAGTGAGGGGAAGGTGTGGAAAATGGAGTCGGTGACAGAGCCTCGGACGGGAGGGGGTACGGAGGCAGGCAAAGAGGCGGGCAGGAGAAAGCCAGAGAGAGGGGGGGGCGGAGGGGGAGGCGAGAGGTTCTTGGGGGGGCAATGCTACTGACCTGAGTCTCCCATCTTGGAGCGGCGTTCAGGCGTCCACAATCCTCCAACCCATGCCAATCACTGGGCCCACCACAGCTCCCGGCCAACCACAGTCCACAGATCACCGGTCCCAGCACATCCATGGCCGACCACATCAGAGAGAGAGAGAGAGAGAGAGAGAGAGAGAGAGAGAGAGAGAGAGAGAGAGAGAGAGAGAGAGAGAGAGGGTGTATCCGCGACAGAGTCTCAAAAAAAGCATGACTGTGCCAGACTGTTTCGTCGGACGTTCACCGACTCATCAGGAGGTTGAACCCCGACAGTCTGCCCAGGATGCATTTGACTGATGGATAAGGACTCACCACATCGCGGATGCATTTGACTGATGGATAAGGACTCACCACATCGCCCATATATATATATATATCGTCAAATAGAACTGCCCGGTAAACCGTAGGCAGAGAGGGAGAAGAGGAATACAAACGAGGGGCTGTGACAAACTGTTTCGTCGGAGTTTCACCAACTCATCAGGAGGCTGAATATATATATATATATATATATATATATATATCGCCAAATATATATATATATATATATAGGGTTCAGCCTCCTGATGAGTCGGTGAAACTCCGACGAAACAGTTTGTCACAGCCCCTCGTTTGTTGTCCTCTTCTCCCTCTCTGCCTA